ATCTAATTCCTCTAAATGTCGCCTGTATGTATGTCCATCCAGCCTTGATGGCAAGAAAACGGGTCCAATAATTACATCGCCCACAATGCCAGCCCAAACGTTAAGAGAAAATCTCCATTGTGATTTCCAAGTTTTCTTAAATCTTGGATTTTCGTCCGCCCAACTATGTAAATTTCTCAAATTGAAGATTCCATCTTTAGAAAAAGTGGATTCATCTGTAAAAAGCACTTTTTCTTAAAACTGATCATCAATTTGGATTTTGTGCTGCATTATTTGGCAATATTGCAGTCGCAGTGGGTAATCAGCCAGTCGAACTTCCTGAACTTTGTAACAATGAAATGGATAAAGCTGTTGCTCGTGAAGAACACTCCAGACAGTTGTTTTTGAAGTTAAAAAGTGCCTCGCCATATCCAAAGTACTAGCTGTAGTATTTTCTTCTACGTGGTCTATTTCCATGACATTCCCTTAATGTCAAAATCATGTCAGTTTGTTCACTAAATGTGTAACTCTCCATTTTGGACACTTAAAATTAATAAAAACTTAACTAACAAAAAACTACCGTTTGTGTTTAAACGACATAAGCAAGTTGACAGCTCAATTTGTTTTTTTTAATTGCCATGGCCAACCTTGACTTTTTCGAAGATTCTTGTTTTTTAGTGTTATTGAAATCGAAGCTTAATATTTTCGCGTATAACTCGAAAACGGTCAATGTTATCAAAATTTTCAAAGAGTGACAAAAGTTGCTAAAATAAATTTTCTATTAAAAAGTACAAAAATAAATGTAGGGTTACGAGCGAACAAAAAAGTTCTGAGCAAACAAATTTTAGGGACACCTGTATAGCATGGTTGCCGCCGCCCGATCAAAGTCAAAATTGGTTCAATGATTTTGCTTGATATTTGTTTACCTTGTACCAAATTTCAACGCTCTACCATAAATGGTATTGAAAATATTTAGAAAAATGTGTTAAAATTTCTGAACTTTGATGGCCCATATCTTGGCCATTTGAAGACTTTTATAATAATTTTTTTTCACGAATCGTCATCACTTTTGCTCTAGTATGTGAGGTTAATTTTATGCCCCAAGTCACCGGAGCACCCTGTATATTAAGATAAAGCATTATTGTACTCTTATGTTGTTTTATACTACAGGTTGTTTTCTGAGGATGCCCTAAGGGCGAAACCGGTAAAAGCTGAAAAATAAAGGATTTTCCATTGTTAAAGTGCAAAATTGTGTTTAATTTCAAATAAAAGTTGTTCTGTGCGAAGGGAGAAACCATATGACGATAACATGTTTTGACCTTGACCTTATTTTCAAGGTTATATGAAGGTCACGACCAATTTTTTAAATGGCACCCTACATATTTTATTGTAAAATCTGAATCTGTGGATAAAAGTAAAGTAATTTAAAAAAATTTTACTGTGTATTTTGAAAAAACTGAAACTTCTTCAGAAACAATTAACTAACGTTTATAATCTAGCAAGAACAAATAAGATTTATGAATTTTTAAACATTTTCCTACCCGCTTCGATACATTGTCTTTAGTTCTTAATTCTTAGAATATTATTTAAGAATGTTTAACAAAAACAAATCCAGCAAAGGTACATCGGGTGACCTGGTTTTTCGGAAATACCTTTGGAAAGAGGTCTAAAGATTCCGACATTTCTCCGCCTCTGTCAATTTGAACAGAATAACGCATAAAAAACAAGAGTTCGTGGAACTGCTTATGTCGGCAACAAATTCTGAATTCATTCCATCGTTTTACATTAAGGCAAAGAATTTAAACTAAGTCATTAAATCATAGATACTCTGAAGTGTGGCAGAAAAAGTCGAAATGATTTTTATTTGTAGCTTTGTATCGAGAACGTTTTCCTGATCGAAATACGCCTTCGAGAAGTACCATTTACAGAGTTGTGAATGATTTTACTAACGCTGGAAATGCAGAATCAAGAAAAAGAACTCGGCGAGCAACTGCAACTACGGAAGAAAAGGAAATTGCGGTATTAGCTAGCGTTGAGGTAAATCCTCAAGTTAGCACTCGACGACTTGCAATTGACGCCGGAATATCGAAGACCAGCATTTTAAGAATATTAAAGCGCAACAAGTGTCACCCATGCCACATTTCATTACATCAACAGCTTTATGGAGGTGATTTTTGAATATCGATTAATATTTTATCAATGGACACAAGAACGAATGCGGTTGGACGTGAAGTAGATAGTTGCGTGAAGCAGAACACCAAAAACCTTGGCCGGTTAATGTTTGGTGTGGCATAATTGGTGATAAATTGATCGGTCCATACTTTATTGATGGTATGCTGAATGGGGAGAAGTACCGAAATTCGAAGTCCAACACATTTTTCACATATTGCACGTGAAGCTTTAGATCGGGATTATATGCTGGGCGATAAATTGGAAAGGGAGGTCCAATTTCCTGGCCTGCCAGATCACCAGATTTAACACCTCTAGATTTTTTTTCTGTGGGGCGTCCTTAAGGATAATGTTTATCCTGAAGTACCGACTACGCCAAAAAATATGAAAGAGCGGATAAGAAATGAATGCAGAAATAGTAACCAAGAAAACCGTTTAAGATGTAAAGAAAGTTTTAGTACAAGGGTTAATAAATGTATTGAAATGGGTGGGGAAATATTTGAACATTTATTATAAATTTTATACTTGTTGTTGATTAATAGTATAGTTTAATCATTTTTTTATAAATAAACAATATTTAAAACTATTTGAATAAAAAAATTATTTAGATTTTGTCTACAAAAGATGTTTCGCCGTCGTATTTTACTTTTATCCATAAATTCCGATTTTGCAATCATAAACATAGGGTGAGCATTTAAAAAAATTGGTCGTGACCTTCATATGACCTTGAAAATAAGATCAAAGGTCAAAAAATGATATCATATGATATATGAATGCTGAAATGATATATACATTATTTTTATGTAAAATGAACCGTTTTCGAGATAATCGCTCGTCTCACGTTAACTGGACCACCCTGTATGTACGTAATAAGCTAACACAAAATGAGGAATCCTGTGATATTCTTCAATTAAAATGCTATGTTATGTCAAATATTCAGAGAAACTTTACCAAGACAAAATAAGTCATAACTGTTCTTTATTGCATGGATAAATCTGTATCCATGTAGTAGCCACATATTCCGAATAAGCCAAAAGTACAAAGCTAATTCAATTCGGGTTTATCGTAAATACAGCAAAATAAGGCAGAAAGATATACATTATTCATACGATATTATGGTGTGGTACAAAAATGTTGAGTTGAGCAATAAATACTTTCAAAGCTATACAGTATGTTTCGTGACAGCACTAATGGAATTTGTTTTCTAGGTTTTACTTCTAGCAAAAAAAATTGTGTGAAGAGTGCTTTTTGAAGTTATATCTCGCTTCGCGGCGCATTAGACAAGTGCGGTATGACATCATTTATAAGGTAAAGTACTTATTGAGGTCAAGTTCACTGTTCAAAAATGTTGGCATAACTTTTCATGTTCTTCGAAAAACTGACTCACCTCGCAGCATTCATATTCAGTACGAACGAGTAACAGCAGAATATTGTTAGGAAGAGAACATGCTTGCCATGTCGCAATCCCAGTGTTAGTACGCAATGGATATCTACACATTTAATAATTCTCAATCAATGGTATGGAGAACATTGAAAAAAAAACTTGCTGTATCTGCCTGCTGCAACAATTTAGACAAGATTTAGGCATCAACTACATAGATGACAAGAAGTTGGATATCCTCATGCAAATATAAAAACTAATTTTCATTGTAGATTTAAGCCACATTCCCACGACGCGTGAGGCACGCTCCATAATATGAACAAGGTGGCGTCAGTAGCTAACGTCACAGATAAGGGTGGTGATCAGGTTCAGATTAAACTGGTTTGATTTTTGTCGTGAATTTGGTCGCATATTATTAATTTACAA